ACAGGTATTACCCTCTAAATCCCATTTTCATAAGGTAAATTCGTTGTGATCAAACCACAACGTAGAGTCCAACTATTCTATCATCGGACTACTGAGTTCAGGTTCAATTGCCTATAGAAAATACCTTAAGAGTGAAGATCATCTCATCATGATAATTAACGAATTTTACTATCGCAAGTATATGATCTCTAACTATTTCGAGCCGATTTCCAAAGCACCGAGATTAATCTTCTAATTAAAACTTCACATATTGCTACTTCAAAGAACTTGAACTAGCAATCAAAAGTACATTACTTGCTCAAGATTTGAGTAACTTGTTTGATAATCGAGTAGTCTCATTCTAAGCGGTTACAAATGAGTCATCTACGCGATCACATTCAATGTGCACCAAAAATACATTATTGTTTTTATTCCCAAATTTAGATAATTCTCAATAAGAACAATGCAATCTTATCAACATAAAGCGTCCAACTTTATGTACCAATTGTGAATGACATAATTTGATCACGTCACAAATTGTGTCTCACTATACCCAAATCATCCAGTATACAATTTATGACATCTTATATGATCATGGAACATTAGATAATTGTTTCAAATTGTAACACGAAAATAATTGAACTTTAATTCATAATGTCGTTTTACAAAATACTACTGAAAAGGGCATCAAACTAACATTATAAACTACTCATGTAATGCAGGGCTAATAGTTCTTACAACAATTACTAACAACCTTCAACAAATTATTCCAGACAGTACTGATCAGTATAGGGAGAAGATGACTAAGAGCTTGTTTGACTAAGTTTTAGAAAGAGAGAGAAGGGAAAAAAAGTAAACTACATTTCTAAAAGTAAGTAAAGCTTTACAATTTAAAACAGCAAAAAGTAAATTTTAAACTTAGTTAAAATGGATACTAGAAATAAACAAACCAATTGACAGAATAGACTCACATCCTTTTCAGATTGTCGAGATTTCTATATTTATCTGCCAAAATCGAAACAGAACAATTTAAAAGTTGAGACTAATTTGGTAAATTACTACACCATAATTGTCACTCAAAATAATTCATATGTTTCATGAGAATTTGGAAGTCTGCAGTACTCAATTAATTTGTTTCACGATTTCATACTTCCGTAAGGCATCAACCCCGTGACACTGTTTTCTACTGAAAATTGAAAAGGATCCCTGACCTATATATGTAATGTAGCAATTGAGTCCTCAACTTTTTCAACGCTTTCTATTGAACTTCCTCCCACATGAACTCGTCTGAGTCCTTCGGTTTCGCGGCAAGGAGACCATGGGTAATGCTTAAGTCCCTATATGATGATTTCCTTCTTTTAAAATTGAAAAGTCAAATTTGAAGTGAAAAGAAACTTATAACCTTATTTCTCAATTAAAATATAAATAAATAATTATTATTTTCTTATGAAAGTCAATTCATCTAGCGCCTGTTTGGAAGGGATTTTATCAAGATTTGAAGCAATTTTATAACCGCTGGGCAGTTCAGAAGCCGGGCTCATTGTAGCTGTTGGCTTTGTTTGCTCTTCCACTATATCATCACAATTTCCAAAGATGTCCTTTAAGAATAATCAAATATGATGATTGGAAGAAATGTGTACAAAATAATTTAAAGAAATAAAAAGGGTACGATAGATTTTTACCATTTTTAGGTGATAGTTTCTACTGATGACTTGAATACTTGGCAGCAATCGAAAGGTAGACAACGGTCATATTTGGGCTAAAAATCTTAGGTAAATCCCTCTCAGACAGGGTTCTACACTGCCAAAGGTTGTAGGTTGTTGGGCCCTCTCGAGTTGACAATTAAGAAGAAGACATATATAAAGACGAAATTCATTTGATTTAGTGAATGTCCTTCAACGTTTGCACTGTTTCTCGATTCAGCATTTTTTGAATGANTACATTTCTAAAAGTAAGTAAAGCTTTACAATTTAAAACAGCAAAAAGTAAATTTTAAACTTAGTTAAAATGGATACTAGAAATAAACAAACCAATTGACAGAATAGACTCACATCCTTTTCAGATTGTCGAGATTTCTATATTTATCTGCCAAAATCGAAACAGAACAATTTAAAAGTTGAGACTAATTTGGTAAATTACTACACCATAATTGTCACTCAAAATAATTCATATGTTTCATGAGAATTTGGAAGTCTGCAGTACTCAATTAATTTGTTTCACGATTTCATACTTCCGTAAGGCATCAACCCCGTGACACTGTTTTCTACTGAAAATTGAAAAGGATCCCTGACCTATATATGTAATGTAGCAATTGAGTCCTCAACTTTTTCAACGCTTTCTATTGAACTTCCTCCCACATGAACTCGTCTGAGTCCTTCGGTTTCGCGGCAAGGAGACCATGGGTAATGCTTAAGTCCCTATATGATGATTTCCTTCTTTTAAAATTGAAAAGTCAAATTTGAAGTGAAAAGAAACTTATAACCTTATTTCTCAATTAAAATATAAATAAATAATAATTATTTTCTTATGAAAGTCAATTCATCTAGCGCCTGTTTGGAAGAGATTTTATCAAGATTTGAAGCAATTTTATAACCGTTGGGCAGTTCAGAAGCCGGGCTCATTGTAGCTGTTGGCTTCGTTTGCTCTTCCACTATATCATCACAATTTCCAAAGATGTCCTTTAAGAATAATCAAATATGATGATCGGAAGAAATGTGTACAAAATAATTCTAAGAAATAAAAAGGGTACTATAGATTTTTACCATTTTTAGGTGATAGTTTCTACTGATGACTTGAATACTTGGCAGCAATCGAAAGGCAGACAACGGTCATATTTGGGCTAAAAATCTTAGGTAAATCCCTCTCAAACGGGGTTCTACACTGCCAAAGGTTGTAGGTTGGGCCAATTGGGTCTCGAGTTGACAATTAAGAAGAAGGCATATATAAAGACGAAATTCATTTGATTTGGTGAATGTCCTTCAACGCTTGCACTGTTTCTCGATTCAGCATTTTTTGAATGAAAATTTTATCAATACTCTAATTGCAAGTTTCGTAAAGGAAATAAAATATATTCTTTAAAATTCAAAAATTAACGACAAAGCGCCCATGGCCTAATGGATAAGGCGTCTGACTTCTAATCAGGCGATTGTGGGTTCGAATCCCACTGGGCGTGTAACTTTTTTATATATTCCTGCTTGCTTGGTATATGTATGAACTATGAACTGCGGCCCGCAGTATGTAAATTCATTTTTACACAAATCCTCAAGTGCTCATGACAATTAACTGTGCTATTTATGAAAAGATAATATATTTTTTAAAAATTTTTATGGATGTCTTAAGAAAAGGATAATAGTCCGTTTGATAGGTAAAAGTGGAAAGAAATTTCAATTTTATGTTAGTTAGAAAATAAAAATTCTCCATTCCATAGGAATTCCTTTTCCATAAAAACAAAGAAAATGTAGTTTAAAGTGGTTATACCTTGGAATTCGATTTTTGTTTCCACGTTGCAATCAAACGACAAAAGTGGAATTCGTTTTTCTCGAAATGTGACAATTTTCATAAAAAATGTGACAATCAAACATGGTCTAAATGACATTTTAAAAGGCAAAGAAGTACACAGAGCTTCATCAAACTATATTAGGGTTTTTCGTTACAATCCAAGGGGTACAAGTACTAATACCACAACGAATTTTGTTGGTACACTACCAAGAGTTTTATTCAAATTGTGTAATCGGACGAATGGTGTGTTTATGAAGTTATTTCGGGGATAAATCGTATCTTAAATGTATTGCAGACTTAAAGATGTAGATTTAAAATGTTCACATTTTAAGACGACATGGCTTTAAACCTGATCAAATCTAGATCTTGATCGATTTAAGCGGCTCCGCTTGGCTGGCTACTAATACGGGCAATTCTCGGGCCAACCCATTAGCTAGTTTCAAAAGTGGGTCGATCGTGTATGGTCTAGTTTCAACTAAACCTTTTCTTAAATTTATTTTTGAAATTGCCAAACTTAATAAATGTAACCCGTTGATTGATCAAGTTCCAAGTTATGTACTAAATAACGTTGAATCACTATATTTATAAAGAGAGATTATTTGCAAATACAAAAGGCCACGTTAATTTTAGTTCAAGAATTATTATGTTGATTTTTATGCTGGATTAATGCTTTTTTAAAATTAGAGGGAAATTTGTACTATATGTTCTTAATCTATGCATTTTGTGGAGTGAGTCATCAACCTTTTAATCTTGACATTCTCATCGTCAACATTTTTTATATATGTAGAATGCTAGTCCTTATGACTGGATGAATCTTACTTATTTACTTTTTAGTTTTTACAGGGTAAATGAGTACATAACTAATTTTAATTAAAACAATTGAATAATAAAAAAAAAAAACCCTACGAGTATGACTTGGGTGGTACAAAAAATCCATTCTGACATGGTGGCGACCAGGCGATGGGGCGGTGACAACAATAAGGGATCGACAGTGGTAAGGAGTGAGAGTACTAGGAGGAAAATATTTGAAATGTGATAGTTTCTATTTTGTTTGTATCACTCGCTTTTTTATTATTTTAATTGAAAAATCGAGTATGTATTCATTCACCTACACGTGAAACTTATATATCCATTTGATGTCGGCGTTTTGGACCTAATCCTTCCGTAAGGACCAAGTCGGCCACAAACGTCAAAGTCAGTGTATATAACTTCAAAACTTAAAAGGTGGAGAACTCATTCACCCAAAACATACAAAATTAGACACCCCGATTGCAATTTTCCAAAATTTCATGACCCCTTCAATAACACTACTTACCCACCTCTGCATCTCAAACTTAAAAGTTAATTATCGAGTACTTATGATCGCACTCACTTATCGAGAAAAAAGCAGCTAAACATTGATTGTGTGCAAGCTGTAACCTTCTTCACTGCATGTGATTTTCGTCCCCACCACCCCTTAACACGCCTTATCATCACCCTTCAAATCGACACACACAATTCAGTTTTCTCACACTCCCAGAAGAATGAACTCTTCAGCAAAACCCTTGCTTTTCTGCTCCGTTCTTCTCATTTTCATCTCACTCAACTCGCACGTTTCGGCTCAGTCCGAGGAACCCAGCTTGAAACTCACGACTGATGCATCATTTGAATGGCCAATGGGGATGTCGTTTTACGAGGGTGAGTTCGGAGAAGTTAATGAAGAAGTACAAGAAGACGACTTGGGTAATAGGAGGTCTTTGTTTTGGCACAGAATGAGGTACTACATTTCGTATGGCGCGCTTGCGGCTAACAGAATTCCATGTCCACCGCTCTCTGGGAGGTCGTATTATACTCATAACTGCTTTAGAGCTAGAGGGCCTGTTAATCCTTATACTAGGGGTTGTTCTGCAATTACTCGTTGTCGTATATAGATTTTTGCTTTTAGTATGGAAGATCTTGTGGATCTGAGGATATTGTCGGTTTAATGTTGTTGAATTGATTGTTTTTCTGAGAAGGTTTTCCATCTGTTTATATACTATGAATTTGCTTGATTATATGTTTAATAACGTGTTTCGTGGGTTATTTTATAGATAACGTTCAAAAATAAGCCAACATTTGAAACAATGAACTTTTCTTTGGAATAAACTTGAACAGATCTAGCAATGGGGAAAGAAAGGAATTGTGTGGTGTGGTCGACCTACTTTTTGTTAATAGTGATTTTTTTTTTTCTGAAAATGTATGGTTAAAAAATTTGTAAAATAATTTTATTGGGAGAACGCGAAACTATAAATGAATTTTAAAAATATGGTCTTAGGCAATTTCGATAGACTAGAATTGCATGACAAAAATGGGATTTCTTTATAATGAATTGTGGAATTGTTAACCTAGATCAGGAGGATTTACCTGGCATTAACATGTTTACTGGAGAAATTTATAATATTTTTGATGAGGAAATTACACAAGATGTCAATTTTTGGTTATGTAATTACCAAAATGTCACCCTTGTAAAGTTGTTGCAAGACTGTCAATTTTAGACATTTTTGCCCCTCTGTATAATTTAAATACTTTATATGCCTAGCATTAATTAAGATTTGACTACATTTAAAATTTGTACAAAATGTGATTAATATAGTACATTAGGAGTTTAAAAAAAAAAACCAAAAAGAAGATGAATTGACGAAAATAGGAAGAAATTAAATCACTCCACTCGCCACTCTACCTCCCAAACGAGAAGAACTCAACTCCTTCAAGGAGTTCCATTCACATTCGAAGCGTTGGAAACCACCTTGCTGTCGACGATCACTTCGAAAACGTCCACTGCCCATAACACACCAAACCAACATTGAACTCACTTCCCTTACGTAGCGGTGGCAAAAAAGCTCGGCGGCTCGGGCTCGGCTCGGGAAAAGCCCGAGTCGGGACCGGCTCGAGCTCGGTCGCACCGCGCCGCGGCTCGGGCCGAGCCCCCTTTGGGGGCGCCGCGAATACGATCATTTTCAGATATTTTTGCTATAAATTTGGCTTGCCTTGGGTAATGAGGACGAAGTTTATACCTAATAGAATTGATCGGATTCATGTATCAAATAGGCTATTAATCGAATGTATAAAAATGTAATTATATTTTGTATGATCTCTTATTTTAAAATCCAAGTATAGGTGATTTTGCATCCTGATGTTATTGTGCTCCCTCTACGTATTTATGTATCGGCTTTAAGGGATTTTAATGAGAATATACAAATATGTTGAGTCTCCTATTGTGACATTTTGAGACCTACTGTGAGTAATAGGCCGAGTCTCCTCAAGTTATAAAATCTATGTTTGTCACATATAATTGATATGTTTTATTTGATGGCACCTAGTTAATGTTAGTGGATTCACTTTATTAAACAATTGCAATGCAAATAGCTTTCCCTATGAGGCCATGTGCTAAACTCCAAAATGTGGCACAATTAGCCTAAGTAGTTAAATTTTGTCATATGTTGAATCCAGATTGTAGTGGCTTTTCTAATCTAATGGGACGGTTTACTATTAGCCTAAGTGGGAGATGAATATATGTTCTTTATTTAAGTAAGTTCTGTTTGAGATGTTTTAAGTTCCAAGAGCATCAATACAAACTGTTAAATGAGAAAAAGATTATTTGAGTTGAAATTGAGATCAAAATTGCAGGTATCAGTTGTGTGTGTTACAATTAAGTCATGCATGTGTACTATGTAGAAGTAATTAACAAGGCATGTTTAAGTTGCTTGTATAAGTTGTTTACAGAATTTTATAGTATAATTAGAAATTGTCTGTCTTTAGATCCCAACCAAAGCTCGGCCACCCCCGAAGTAGCTTAAATATTTCTATTAAGTAGTTTTTTATAAAATATGGGAGCCTACACCCTACCTCTTGAAGTAATCAAATATATAAATAACCCAAGTCAGAACTTCTGTTGTATAGGTATTCATGGCCTCGTTGATGTTTTAAGTTTTACGTTTGCAATGGAAATCATATAGCACAAGAAATCAACTCGGTGTTGTTTGTAGGGTATCCTTACTCTAAAATAGCTATATGAAATATATGTACAAAAGCTCTTGATTTGGCGAATCGTCCCTTGGCTTCTTGGTTGACGTTCCAGACATCCAATTCTCGGAACAGCTCATCCCACAGCTTGTCTTCAAAAGCATACGAACAGACAAGTCGTACAAACTGTAGTTCAACGTGCAAGGACACTACTCTGATGATGACAGTGGTAGAGATAGGGAAGCCGTGTGAAATGAACAATAGGACGGTGATGGGATACCATTGTGTAAGAAAATAATTGTTCATCATGTATGTATATTATTTTTGTTGTGGGATGAATGTGGAGGCTGATAGGAGAGGAACCACGAAATTCGTTGTGTTAGGATGTTGTTACAAAGACAGTGTCTATACGAATTGTCGAGAACGGCAGAGACAATCTGTCGGGAATAACATCTTAAATGACGAGATGGAGTTTTGTTTGTTTAATTTGTGGTGCCCTTATTTATCTCTATCTTATAATCGTCATGGTTTTGCACATACTTCGTAATGATCATTAATGAAACGTGAGGGCAAGCATGTCCCTTCTGCACTATAAAAATTTGCTGTCTGTTTGAGTTGTCGAGAAATACAGAGACTATCTGTCGGGGTCGACAGATGAAGTGCTGGGGTGTGCTGCAAACAATGTCATGTTGGTTTCAGCACGTACAACAGTAAATCGACGTGAGGATACAGATGATCACATGTGATACGTACGAGCAATGATGAAACAAAAATGCACATGTAAGATGAGAGGATGCCACTAATAGGGTTTGGAGACCATGTGGATTTACAAACAAAACAACGTAATTACATAGAGCAACGTTAAGTAGGTTACGTTACATTTGGGTTTGTGCATGTGGTCCGGTTATGTGGGGATATTACGCTAATGACTTATGTCCTCATTTTGTACGTTTTGGTGTAAACATCCCCTATGTGATGTAGATAGTTGTTTCATTATGAACCGATATGCACCAACTTAGGTCTTCATCTTCGCGTATTTTAGCCGGAGGTATATTCAAGTTCGAGACTCTGAACTTCAATTCAATTTCAGTGCAGGAATCAAGAATGTCGAGTTTTTCCTTCAACCGTAAAGCAAGTTTGGCTACCATAATATTTGTCGGCACTAAAATGAAAGTGATTTTGTCCCCTCTCCACTTCCATCCGTCGTCCACATTTGCAAAATTTTCCGCGTAAGAGACGATGAATCTCAAATCATCATTCATAGTTGAAATCAATATATCGACATTGAATACCATCAAATGTGGTAAACAACTAATCAAGGTTTTCAACGGTTCTCAAGTGTCAAATTCGACAGTTAAATTGTGTATCCCAACAGTTTTGAAACTGTCGAATTCGTCAGTTTAAATGTCGGGGTCCAACGGTTTGAAACAAGCTATTCAACCATTTCAGTAGGAACTATCTTGAACGTTTGAAAATAGTTATTTCATATATTTTTAGGATGAAATTATTCTAAAACATTTATGATGATAATCAATTCTCATTCAACATGACAATGTCTTTTGAAAATAAATAAATCAATACTTCATTAAATATGGAATCGGTCACATTTAGTGAACGATTCCATATATCTTTACCCAAAAAAAAAATTCAAAACCCAAAGAAATCAATGAGTAATAGTATCAAAAATTGGAAATTAATATCACCATGTTGTATTTAACATTTACAAAATAATGAGCTATGAGATAAAAACATAAACAATTTGTAATAGCTAACCTCTCGAAATGGATGATGAATTCAATAGTCTTGTGTTCTTGATGAATGAATGAAGAAGATGAATGAAAATGGAAGAAAGCATGTGTTAATGGATGAGGAGTTACAAGTTAGGGTTTGTTTATGTTAGCTTTTGAATTTCTTTTTTTTTTTTTTNTCGACTATTCTCAACACCGTAGTTAATTTAGCTTTTATTTGCTCTTGTTCCGGCTATTCATACTATCCATTCGTAGTGTTTTGATCTATGATTTCCTTACCTGAAAGACAAGTTTGAAACCATGTCCTTGTTTGGGCTCCATTAAAAATGCATTTTGGGATAAAATACATTTTTGAATAGTAATATTTTGAAGAATTTGTGGTTAAAAAATAAAAAAAAAAGTTTTAAATTTGCATGTAATATTATTTTATTGAAGAATATGTAGTTGAAAATAAGAAAAAGTGAAAGTTACTAGTTCAACTCAAAAATCACCTAATTGGTGAATAATGTGGAATTAAATTTATCAATTAAAAGCAACAAGTCACTTTTTAATTGTTCTAGATGTTTAGTCATCAAGTAAATTTTATCCTATGTTGAATTTTCACAATAATAATTAAAACAATAAATAACACGAGATTTGATAATGGAGAAAACCCTTAATTGGGTAAAAGCTCAAAGACCAAGCCAATAGTTTTCACTATAGATAATAAGAACTTATAATATGATCCAGCCTATAAACTTACTAGACTGGATGTTCTAATTCCTGCAATCTCCAAGACCAGCTAGAACGTGTTTCACTCACACTTGCTCCAAATCTTTTGTAATTGCCTATTTCCTGTAGAATACCAAGAACGTCTCATTCTTGTACTCTTCATGTACTTCTGGTCTAACCTTCATCAAATTTCAGCAATCTCTGAAAGGCTATTGAAAAAGTACCTTTCTGATCATATCTAGAAAGTGAGTGTTTCAGATTATATGAATTTGACATTTTTCTCAAACTTGTGATTGATTGATCTTAAGAATCAAAAGATTAATCTCAATATTTGGATGTGTTCTTAAATTTTGGAATGATGTTATGAAGAAGTAAAACAACGATAAACCACCCACAAAAATGTAATGACCATTGGGTATTTATAATGAGGTGTTTATGTAGTATATGATAGATAGAACTCTTGAAAAAAG